CTCCCTGGCCAACCCCCCCAGTTTCTATACTGAGCATGACAACAGATGGTATGGAATGGCCCTTTGGTCAGCTTGGATCAACTATTCTGGCTGTGCCCCCTCCCGGTTTCTTGTGCACCTGACAGAGCATGGGAAGCTGAAAGTCCTTGACTGGCATAAGCAGTACTGAGCAACAACTAAACCATCAGGGTGTTATCAACATTCTTCTCATCCTAAATCCAAAAAAAAGAACTATGCAAGACACTAAGAAAAAAATTAACTCTATCCCAGCTGAAACCAGGACAGCAGCTTAAGGGTTAGGGCCGGGGTGATGTCCTGCGGGCATCAGAGCTCCCCAGGCATCACAGCTTCAGCTGGTTTTAATGCAGTGAGAACAGGAGTGACCTTTGGCTGCTCTGTAAGTAGTATGTCCCTGGTCCTCCCAGATATCAACGAGTGTGAAGAGGAGCCCAACATCTGCCTTTTCGGGACATGCACCAATACCCCTGGCAGCTTCCAGTGTGTCTGCCCTCCAGGCTTTGTGTTGTCTGATAACGGCCGACGGTGCTTTGGTGAGTGCAGCTCATCATGGTGGGGAGGGGAGTATAACCATCCTGGATGTCTGCAATGACCTGTGCATTTCCCCATCCTCCTACAGATACTCGCCAGAGCTTCTGCTTCACTCGCTTTGACAACGGAAAGTGCTCTGTCCCCAAGGCCTTCAACACCACCAAGGCTCGGTGTTGCTGCAGCAAGATGCCAGGAGAAGGCTGGGGAGACCCCTGTGAGCTGTGCCCTCAGGAAGGAAACGGTAGGTGTGCTGGGACCTAGCTCCATGGGAGAGACGGCTGCACGTGTCTCCAACATGCGTAGAGCGTGGGGAAGGTGTGCAGGTCAGGCAAGACAGCCAGTAATGCAAGCCATCCAGCAAAGTGGACTCCTCCGTCTGGAGAGTACTGCCTTGAAACCTAGTAGCCCTTACTGGACTGCAGTATTCCTTGGGTCTCCAGCAACCACAGTCGGGCTTATTTCTGCTTCAGATCTGCTCTCAGTTCTCTGCAGGGCTTTAGATAAGGCAAAAGCATCTCAGTGCCTCCAGATCCAAGGCAAGCACAGGTGATGTCCTTTTCCAGCCAGACGGGGTTTTGTGAGCTGTCAAGCTCTCAGTCATGCTCTAGAAGCCTCCAAAGCACATTTCAGCTTCTGTGAGTAGAAGCACTTGTAAGCGTATCTCACTTTTCTGCTTTCTTCCAGTTGCCTTCCAGGAGCTGTGTCCATATGGCCATGGAGCCATCCCAGGTCCAGGTGACACCCGAGAAGGTAAGCTCTGATCTAGGGATAAGAAATTTGTTTTGTGGGGGGGATTACCTAGAAGCAACCAAACTTAGGCTATCTGGAGAGTAGGGTTGAATCTCAGTGGCAGGAGGGGAGGGACATAGGACTGGGTGCCCTCATGGTCTCTGACTGCTCACCAAAGGTTAAGCCCCCAGCTCTGGAGAGGAAGTATCTGGAATTGCAGGGTAAGCCCTGAGGGGACAGGGATATGTTTCTGGCTACGTGCTCACATGAGATTTCATTGCCTTGGTTTCCCTTCTAGATGTTAATGAATGCTCAGAGAACCTGGGTGTCTGCATAAATGGGGCCTGCATTAACACTGATGGGTCATTCCGCTGCGAGTGCCCCTTCGGGTACAACCTGGACTACACAGGAGTCAACTGCGTGGGTAAGGGTCTGCATGGGGAGCACTTGCTCCCTTTTGCTTTTATCGTCCTTATGTCAGAGGCTATGAGCATGTGTGTGTGTTTAGGGAAGGAACTTGCCTCTTCCCTGCCCCTTTGCTTTTTACCCCTGGCTCCTGGCTTTGCTGGGCTTGTTTGAATGCTCTGGCTGCAAGAAGAGACCAGCCTGCACCTTTCCTATCTAACTTATCCACCTAACATGGTCCCGGCTTCCTCCAGATACTGATGAGTGCTCCATCGGCAACCCATGTGGGAACGGCACCTGCACCAACGTGGTGGGAGGCTTCGAGTGTTCCTGTGATGAAGGCTTCGAGCCCGGTCCCATGATGACATGCGAAGGTAATGCTGCTGTGGGGCAATCCCTTCACCCCCTTTGCATACTGGGCCATGTGTCTGACCCCACTGGGTCACTGCCTGGGTGAGCAGCAGTCATGTCAGGCTCCAATGGACAGTGCAGAAAAGCTGTATGGGGCTCATCTCCACATGAGTGTGTACATCAGCACTGGTCCCCTTCAGCTTCCTCGGAGGCTGCAGCCCAGGAAGAGGTCTGGTGACCTGCCTAAATGGAGGAGCTGCCTCCCTGAGGAGCCAGGACCCTATCCCCATCAAAGCTGCTGAGATAACAGGTGTCTGTCCCTCTGCAACTGAAGACCATAACAAGAAGCCTTGGTGGAACAAAGTTCTCATGAGATGAATGCATGGGGAGGGGGAGGGTCTGTCCTGGGGAGGTCCACCACCGTTACTGCCCAGCTGACTCTGCTGAGAGCACAGAGTCAAGCTCTCTCCTCTCTCCTGTGCCCCAGATATCAATGAATGCGCACTGAATCCCCTGCTCTGTGCCTTCCGCTGCATCAACACCTTTGGCTCCTATGAGTGCACCTGCCCATCTGGATACGCCCTCCGAGAAGACAGAAGAATGTGCAGAGGTAAAATCCCCTTCTGCACCCATCAGGGGAGCCCCCACACCAGCCCCCTGCACTTAACCAGTTGTGTGTACAACTGGTGTTGTACAGTGAGAAGGCAGGACTTCTGAGCTGGCATCCCAGAGGCTTGTGCTCACTCTCACCTACCTTAGTGTCTATGCTGTTTGCCAGCCAGCCTGGACCAAGGCAGTAGGGATTGGCAGAGCAGTGCAGGTGTGAGCACTTGCTTCCGAGTTGCCCCCACAGTGCTGCAGTCCTGGCAGGTTGAATGTGGACTCATGAGGTTCTCTGTTGCAGATCTGGATGAGTGTGCAGAGGGACTGCATGACTGTGAGTCTCGAGGGATGCTGTGCAAGAATCTCATTGGCACCTTCATGTGCATCTGCCCACCAGGAATGCAACGCAGGCCCGATGGAGAGGGCTGCACAGGTACCAAGGACTAGGCTGGGAGGGGTTCCCAGTGGGGCTGGAGACCATCCTTTTCTAGGCATTGTCCATGTAGCTTTATTTTATGTCATTCTGTCAAACAGCTCCTCCCCAGGGTTTCCCATGTGTCAGAACTTCCTACTAGATGCCTACACACACAAGAACTTCTGTTCATCTCTGGACCCATGGGTCTACACAGTTCCAGCACAGGATGACACAGCATTATGCCATGTGTCCTTTCTGTTGAGTCTTTCCATGGCTGTTTCAAGCTTCTTTGGGCTGAGCTGCTTCTGGAAGGGCCAGTACTGAACAGCCCAGACCTGCATAGTATTAGGCACAGCGGGAATGCAGAGCGAGCCCATCTACACTCCTAGCCCAGCATCTTGGCCACTTGCAGGTGGAGAATGTGCAAACAAGGGAAGCTGGATACTCAGCCACCCTGCTTTGGGAGACATCCAGGGCAGCTGGATGTGTTTCTCAGCTGCCTAAGGATGTGGAAGTAGTCCTCAAGGACTATGTGAGGGCATTTCAAACTGAGTGGTAGTATGGGGACTCATAGAAAGCTGAAATTTGTCCTATGCCTCACTGCAGCTCTTTGTGGTTCCTTCCTTCCTAGATGAGAATGAGTGTCGCACCAAGCCTGGAATCTGCCCCAATGGCCGCTGCATCAACACAGTGGGAAGTTACCGCTGTGACTGCAATGAAGGTTTTGAAGTCAGCCCCTCTGGCACAGAGTGCATTGGTAATTACCAAGTCCTGGTGGGTCTTGAGCAGCCTCTCTTTAATAGCAGATGATGCTTTTCAGGTTTTTCAGGGCTTCTGAGCAGAAAGGTTGTTGGGGCATCACCTTTACTGTTAGCATTATCCAAACCACACTATCCTCCATGCTGGAACTGGCACAGGCTGGACAGGCTGCTTGGTTATCCCCAGTGCTGACACTGACTCAGATCCTCACCTTGTATCCCCACTCTCTCTGTCCAGACACTCGCCAGGGATTCTGCTTCACTGAAGTACTGCAAACCATGTGCCAGATGTCCTCCACCAACCGCAACCTGGTCACCAAATCTGAGTGCTGCTGTAACAGTGGGCGCAGCTGGGGCCCCCAGTGTGAACTCTGCCCCCTTCCTGGAACCACCCAGTACAAGAAAATGTGTCCTCATGGGCCAGGGTACTCCACTGATGGGAGAGGTAAGCTGGGGCCCAGATCACCTTCAATGTGGAGGGGAGAAAGCAGAGATGTGGGTACAGGCAGAATTCCCCTGGGAACTGGCTGGGACAGACCTACACAGTGCCTGGAGCAGACAAGAAGCCTCTGTGACATTATCTTGTAACTCCCTGAATGTAGTCTCTGGCTCCCAGGGAGAGTCTGAGTTGCCCTGGCACAGTGCTGGCACAGGAGCATGGGGACAGAGGCAGAATTGACACTAACAAGTCCTTTCCTTCCTCCTGCAGACATCGACGAGTGCAAGGTACTGCCCAACCTCTGCAAGAATGGACAGTGCATCAACAGCATTGGCTCCTTCCGCTGCCACTGCAGGCTGGGCTACACTGCGGATATCACAGGCACAGCCTGTGTGGGTGAGTTGGGAGAAGGAGACCCATGTCTCTGGACAGTCCTTGGCCTTGGCAGGCTTCCGTCCCTACTTTTCAGCATGCAAAGAGAGGGTCCTGTAACCCCCACCTGGGACCTGCCCTCACCTCTATCCATGCTGTCCTGCGTAGCATGGACATAGCATGTCCGCAGCAGGGCTGTGGACACTTTGCCCTATTGCATGGTCCTCTATACATCAAAGTCATCACTCCATGTTGTTTAACTCCTTAAAAGCGAGGCTCCTTGTCTTCCACCTCTGACCCCAGTGGTCACAGGGACTGGCAGGGAGTGTGATCCAGAGATGAAAGTCTGTGAGCAGCCAAACCTTTTGTTGGCAGGGCAGCTGGTTCTAGCCAGCCTGAGTGCCACGCTGGGAGTCCAGATGCTGACATAAAAGGCACCCCTGGAATCACAGCTGCAGGCATCTGGGGAAGTACTGAAGGAGTTGAGGATGTGCCATACTTCCAATATTGAGATGGTGTTCAGGACCATGCCAGCAGCTGTGTCCCCTAGACATGGAGTGGAAAAGAGGCCTTGGCTCCCAGAAACCAAGCTCTGTGCCTAGGAGTAGAGCAGACATGACTTTGAGCACCAGGACAGGATTCCTCTCTAAACATTCTTGCACTTTCTCCAGCTTTGTGCCCTCAAGCCTGGCTCAAAAGTTATGGGCTTTGTCAGAGCCATGGCTGCTACTCCCTGCTGGGCAGAGGTGACAAAGCTCCAGAAGTACAGGGCTGGCCCCATCCCTGATGTTCCCAGTACTCAAGAGCAGCATCTACCCACCTCTTCAGCTAGGAAGGGGCTGGGAAAGATGTCACTCAGATCCACCAGGTCACACGACAGCCCATATCTGAGCAGGGAGGTGATTCAGCTCTTTTCCTGCAGGAGATCTTCTAGATTTGTTGCGCTGTCTCAAACCAGGGTGCTCCCTCAAAGCCCCTGTCTCTGCTCACCTGCTTCCTGGAGAGTGGGAAAGATGCATTTATCTGGGGCAGGGAGTGCCAGGATCCGAGGCCATCTGACCACTTAGTTATTTGTGGCCATGAAAGCTGGGATCGTCTTGTATTCAGGAGCCCCTTGGTAGACTGCATGGTCCAAGGGTGGTGGGGACCCAGTCCAGCAGCACAACCTGCGAATGCTGATGTGTCTTGTCTCTCGAGTCTAGATTTGGATGAGTGTAACCAGTCCCCTAAGCCATGTAACTTCATCTGCAAGAACACAGAAGGCAGCTACCAGTGCTCCTGCCCCAGAGGGTACATTCTGCAAGAAGATGGGAAGATCTGCAAAGGTATTCACCCAGGAGAAGGCAGCAGAGACACTGCCTCATCTCTGGCAGCAGGGGGAATGGCAAGAGCTGATTAACATGTGCCAGAACAGTCAAGTCTTTCTGTTCAGCCACAGGACAAGGCTAGACATGGAAAAAGGTGCCATGCTGGACCTTCGTGGGCTGATGCATCAGGGTTTCATCCCTCTACAGACACTCTAGACCTGTCGCATCAGGAAAAAAAAAAAATATTCTTTGCCCTTTCCTACAGACTGCACAGCATATCCCAAGCTGTCCTGAGCTCCAGGAGCTTTGAACCAGCATGTCTCCTACAAGTGGGCTGGACACTATCAGGGCTCCTCTTAGTGCTGGCAGCTGCCAGGCTGGGGTTTTGCCCACCTCTCACAGTGCTGATGTATCAAGCTGCAAGGAAGGTGGCCTCAGAGTCTGGGAGAGTCTGGGATTTGTGGATTACAGGAGAGGCAGAGAAGAATCTCTGTGTCTTCCAAATGTGTCTGTGTATGATCAGCAGCAGAGGTGGGAAGAGGCTCCCTGGACTTGTGATTCTCATGTAAGAATTTTGTGCGTGCTGTTCCTGAGGCTGGTCCATGACAGGTCCTGGTCTGCCCAGGACCGCTGTGTATCACCGTGTACATGTGGGTGTCACAGACTCAGAACACAAACATAAGATATCTCAGTAAGATAAACTGAGACACGTGTTCTTGTGCTTGTTGCTTTAGACTTGGATGAATGTTCCACCAAGCAGCACAACTGCCAGTTCCTCTGTGTGAACATTATCGGAGGATTCAACTGTAAATGCCCCCCAGGCTTCACTCAGCACCACTCATCGTGCATTGGTGAGTAGAAGCATTTGCTGCTTTGCTCTACAGCACCAGCAAGGTCCCCATGGGTTAGGTTTAAGCCCTGGAGGGTCTTTCCAGCCCCCCAGCTCTGGCTCTAGAGCACTGGCCCTCTCCAGTCGGGCTGGGGTTGTGGATCTGAGTTGTCTGTCTGCTACTGAGACTGGGCTAAGCTCCATGATGCAAGGTAGCTGTCTGCAAAGCTGCACACAGCCACATGGTTGGGGATGGACTGACAAGCAGCCGTTGGTGTTTTGCAGACAATAATGAGTGCACAGCTCAGCCCTCTCTGTGTGGAGCCAAAGGACAGTGTCTGAACACGCCAGGCAGCTACAACTGTGAGTGTCAGAAAGGATTCTCCCTGGACAGCTCTGGTGTCAACTGCGAAGGTGAGTCTGTGTCTCTGGGGCTTTGACAGACACATGTTCTATGTGGAAGAGTTCCTAGTTCACGCACAGTCTCTAAGGCAGCTCAGACCAGACAAGAAGGGACTACTACTTACTGTGGGGCACCAGAAGCCCACACAGGAAGCCCCGGTGCAAAGGAGAGGTCAGTGCCTGACCTGCCTGGAGAAACACTGGCTCTTGGACAAGTAGGTGAAGGTCTTGGTGCTGCAACCATAGCAGCCAAAGGTGGGGAAGGAATGGTCCTGTATCTCATCAGGGAGATCTCATGCCAGCCAAAACCCACCATGTGCTATGTGGAAGAAAGGCCTATGTTCAGTACAGGGAGCCTGAAGCAGATCTGGTTAACAGTCCAGGGCAGACCTTAAATCAAAAAACATCCAAGCAGGGGCTTGCAAGGGGATGTATGTGGACCTTGGGCCTGAGGGCATTATTCAAGTCCAAGCTGCAGAGACATAATTAGTCAGAAGAACCGCCCACCCACATGAACACCCTCAAGGATGCTGGCTCCCAGGCATGTACCATGTGCACATGGTCCCTTTTGCACCCAGTGCTGCCCACAGGACAGGGAGGAGTTGTCTCACCACCATCTGTGTTACATTGCTGCAGATGTGGACGAGTGTGATGGAAACCATCGGTGCCAGCATGGCTGCCAGAATGTGCTCGGAGGCTACCGCTGCGGCTGTCCACAGGGTTACGTGCAGCACTACCAGTGGAATCAGTGTGTGGGTGAGTGTGGGATGGGGGCTCTTGTATCATGCAGCTGTGGGATGGGGGATAGAGGGAGGCTAAGCCCCGAGTACCTCTCCAGCCACCCCTGGCCATCTCTGACACTGGATTCTGGGTTCATCTCTGCAAACCCAACACTGAGCTTCGTATCCTGCCCTAGAGACAGTCATGCCTGTGTCCCTGCCCTGACCTGCACTGCTCCAGGGACCATCAGGAAGCCTCTCTGCAGAATGATGAGCTCCCAGTGCTCCTGATGCCAGCAGCTCCCTGCATTGCAGGAGGATAAAAAAATCAAGGCAGTCCCTCAGGGACCTGCATGGGATGAGGTCTCACAGGGTAGACAGGAGAAGGGAGCCTGCTGCCAGCTCAGCAATGGCCATGAGCAGATTTCCTTGGCCATGTGGGGTGGGGAGCACAGGAGCTCCCTTCCACTAAGTTTATGACTAGTTCTGCTGTCTTTGGGTGCAGATGAAAATGAGTGTTCCAGCCCCACTGCCTGTGGCTCTGCCTCCTGCTACAACACTCTGGGAAGTTTCAAGTGTGTCTGCCCGTCTGGCTTCGATTTTGACCAAGCCTTTGGTGGGTGCCAGGATGTGGATGAATGCTCAGCAGGCGGCAGCCCCTGCAGTTAATGGAGGCTATCTCTGCGGCTGTCCTGGAGGTTACTTCCGAGCAGGACAAGGGTAAGAGAGCAGCCAGCAGGTAGTCCACACAGGCACCTGTACTTTCTTGGGGGATATCGCAGGCTGCCAAGTGTGCGTGGTGCTCCCAGGCATGCTCCATCACCACACTTGTGCTCTCTGCCACCAATACAATTTGAAGGAGCCCCAGGAGCCAGTGAGCTCCCATTCCCACATGAGTCCTCAGCTTCTCCATGCCAGACTGTTCCTCACTCATCACAGGATCCTCATGTGATGAGGATGTGATGTGAGGATGCTAATGTGCATCTCCTCTTCCATTTCACTAACCCAATGGTTAGTGCAGCCACTAGCACTGTAGCAGATGCTTTGCGGATCCATCTAGTCCAGGGTGCAGACAGGTTAAACCTACTGGCCACATCTAAACATGTCTCAGGCATGTCCTGTGTACAAGCCATTCTGCACAAGCCATGTCCTATACCCAGGCATGATCCTCCATGTGTTCCGGGGTGCCACATGGAGAACCTGTGAGGGCAATGGTAAGGCTTCCTTCTTGAAGCATGAATCTGAGATGGGTGTCTCTGGTCTTCTGCCACCAGACACTGTATTTCTGGCTTGGGTTTTGGGAAAGGTTCCTACCTTCCTGCCCCCCAAGAAGAGGATGAAGACAACCTGCTCTCCCCTGAAACCTGCTATGAGTGCAAGATAAATGGCTACCCCAAGAGGGGTCGGCAGCGACGCAGTGTCAATGGCACTGAGAAGCACCAGGTAAGAAATCCATGGCATCCTGGATGGGGTAGAGCAAGGCAAGAGCTGGGTCATTTGGGGGATAGCTGCCTGGAGTGGATCCCATGCAGTGTGGCCCATTCCTGTGGGGCTGCCTCGGTCCAGACAGAGATAGCAGCTCACTCTGTACCTGCCCATGCTGGGTGCTTGGGTGTTTGTGGATGCCACTGAGTCCAGAAGTCCTGCAGAAATAGAAGGTCTTTCACAATACATTAGACGAGGTCAGGACAATCTTAAGTGACACACATTTGTGGTGTTTGGCAACAAATGTCTGGAGATACGTGCAACCAAGAAACAAAGCACACATTTCCCTGCAAGGGAAGCTGATGGGGGAGCAGTTCCCATAGGGCCATAGAGGACTGTCAGCACTTACTGTCTGACTCCAGACTGGACCTGTCACTATAAATTCAGGTTCTTCCTTGGAGGGAAGTTCTGGCCTCTGTCTAAGGCTCCCCCAAGAAGTTCACAGGCCTGGACAGGACAGATTGGACTGGGACGTCACTATGGGCCCTTCAGGCCTTGGGAGGAAAATGCCCCTGAATTTATTGGTTCTTTCCCTGAAGATGAGGGCTGTGTACTGGCTGGTTCAGTCTGAGAGACACAAACACGGTACCAAGAAACACTTGAAGGAAAGCAAGGACCATAGAAGTTGTAGCCACTTCTCACTGAGCTTTGGGGTGGCCCATGGGGCAGAACTCCTCTAAATCAAGTCCTCCCTTCACCTGGCCATGAGCTTTTCTTGGTATCTGTAGTAACATGCCTGGTTCCTTTCGAAGGATCACACTGTGAACTTGGCCAGCATGGATGTGGATGCTCCTCTGTCCATGATGCTGAACCTCTCTGACCTGGCTCACAAGGAGCACATCCTGGAGCTCCTGCCAGCTGTGGAGCCCCTGGAGAACCGTGTGCGGTACCTCATCTCCCACGGGAATGAGGATGGTTACTTCCGCATCCACCAGAAAGAGGGGCTTAGCTACCTGCACCTCAGCCGCAAGAAAATAGTGCCTGGCACCTACCTGCTGGAAATTGTGAGCGTGCCCCTGTACCGCAAGAGGGAACTGCAGAAACTAGAGGCCAAGAACCACCTCAACTACTTAGCAGGGGAGCTGGGCCAAGCACTGAGGATGAAGCTCCAGCTCCAACTCTACTAACATCCATGAGATCCGCCCACCCAACTGACAGTACAGTCCTTCGCCTTGCCATCCACACCTGGAAACAACTGCCTCTTCTCTTGCTGCACCCCCTGCCACCACCTCCCCCACTGCACTGTACAACTGATGGGAAATGTCCCTCTGGGCTCAGCACTCACCTTGGCCATGCAGGGATACTCTGCTTCATGGGGTGCTTGAGTCAAAACCAAGCCACACCGCAAACCAGCTCATGAAAGCTTTGCCAAAGGTTTAAACCTTAGCAGGGACTCCCTCCCTCCGCTCAGCTCCTGTCTTTAACCAAGATACTGTTAGCCCGAGCTGGCAAGGGCGGTACCATGGGGAAGCTGCCTGTCCTTCATGGTCACAGGCCATACATCACCCCACAGCCCAGGAAATGTGAGGGGGGGCTGGGGACAGCTTTGGAAGGAGCTATGGCACGGTGTGGTATTAGTGCATTTCCCAACAGCTCTTGTTCCTCCTTTGCTTCTGCGTTGTCATGATGGTGCTGCAGAAACCATCCTATACCTACACTGGCTGTGCTCTGTCTCTCTCTGTCCTCTCTGTGTCCTCTGGTCCTTTTGGGCTCCTCTGTCAAACAGAAAAGGTCACCTCTGAGTGAAGGGGCAGTTCAGGTTGCTAACATCGCATCACAAAGCAGCCAAGCCAAAGGACCACAGGCTTCTGTAGGGAACCTAGGATTTTCACACTGCGATATGCTAAATACATGCATGCCCTCCAAAGACTGGAGCCGGAAGGGCTTTTCCAGAGCTCCAGCAAGTCCAGGGGTTAAGGTGTCCTATAAATTAGGAGGAGCTCTGGGAAAGATAAATAATTGCATTGTTGAATGTGGTTGGACAAACTAAACTGGCAGGAGAAATATGAGTCTGGTAGAGAGCATCTGCATGCTTCCCAAGCCAGAGGGGATGGAGGGCTTGGCAGTATGTGGCATGCTGCAGGGGCAGATTTCCTAGCCACCACCGATGTGTCTGAAAATCCTGTGAAAAGTTTCCCACCAGCAGGAGCAAGATGGGGATTTAGGGGGAGGGGGGACAGTCTCTGCAGCCTGGCAGGAAGAAAGAGGCAGGGACAGCCAGAGCTTTATTTTGCAAACAGTCCTTGACTCTGAGCCACCCCATCTGTGTGACTCCGGTGCTTATGGCCAGATTCCCCCACAGTCAGGAGCACTTCTGAAAACAAGGGCTGCAAGTCACTCCCCTCTGGTTGTTGCATACATCTTGGTCAGTCCAAGGTGACAACCAAGATGGACAGTCTCTGGTTAATGCAGACAAATGAAATGCACTAAAAAGAGTCTGGAAAATATTAATTAAGTGACTTGAGGACTCCCTGCTGCCTCAAGTAGCCTGTCCAGGCCATTCTGTCCAGGTGGACTTTTCTTCCTCCCTCAAGAATGTTCTTCACACAGCTGGTCTCTCTGCAATGCCATTTCCTATAGTTTGCATGAATCTGTTTTCAGTTCTGCATCAACCCTGTGCATCATCACAGGAAAGAAAGGTGCTAATTCACTCTGGTGACACACAAGACTACCTTATCAACAAATCCAAGGTGCTTTCAGAAGCTGGTGCTGGTATTGAATCGTCAGCGTTAGTGCACTGTATCCATCCACCCTTTCATATTTATGTATAATCACCAAAGTTATGATTGCTCGTTGTTGTGAGGAGTGCATATTCCTGTAGCATTTTTTTTTGGTTCTTGGGGGGTTGTTTTTTTTCCCGGTACGCTGCCGCCGCATGGGGTGGGGGAAGTGTATGTATACTGTATTTGGGCTAATGTCAAACTTGAAATCTCTTTTGCATAATGCAGCTCCAGACTCTGGATTTTGCAAGAGTCCCAGAGCTTGTGACAGGATGGGTGGCCTGATGTTTGGGGTTTTTTTTAATTGTTTTGTTTTGTTTTGTTTTCCAACAGGTGCTTTTTTTAAAAAAAAAAAAAAAACTATTAATAATAATAAATTAGCAGAGATGGGTTTGTGTGTGTGTGTGTTGAGCCAAAAGTCTCAAATGAAAAAGCTCAAGGTTTCCTTCATTCCTCTCTGGTGCAGTGTTTTGTTTGGTTTTGGTTTTTTTTTTTTTTTTTTTGTATTGACATTTCTTGCTGGTTGGTTTTCTTTTTTTGGGAAGCATTGAAACCCAAAACCTGTGCCCCCTTGTCCCGCACAGAGAGGTGGCTCTTTGTGGAATTCCTTTTTGTATCAGAAGCAACAGCTACAATAAAATTATTTTGGGTTAAGTGGGTCTGTGTCTTCCTCCTCATCTGGGAGAGTAGTGGCAGCACCGGGCCTGTTTGCCAGCTGGGAGGCCACGTCAGAGGCAGCCTGGGAGTGTGGCAGGACCTGTCCTAGCTCCGACATGGAGCAAGCCCGGGCTGGTTTCTTCTCCATACTCCTCAGGGACACAGTTTCACTCTTGCAGCCTCACCAGCTGTCCCACCCTTGCATGTCTCAGCACCTATGGGGCCTTCGGGGTCCTTCCCAAAGCCTCAGAGCAGAAGGCAGATGAAGCAGGAGGGACTAGAAGCATCAGCAGAGTCTCGCCTGATCCTTTGCGCTCTCCCAGCAAGGGGAGTGGAAGGAGGGTGATGCCAGAGGTCTGAGCTGGAGACCACATCACTGAGCCCAGCGGAGGGGTGTCTGCACCCCATCATTGCTGCTGAACTGAGGAGAGGTTACAGGGACCAGGACAGGGATGAGGGGGGACACAAAGAGGAGAGGAGGCAGAGGGGATACAGGAGAGCAGAGGCAAACCTACTGCTACCACCGCTCCTGTCCTGCTCACCCTGCCTGGTGCTGTGGTCAGGGAAGGCGCTGCCTCTGCTGTGGTCACCCTTGGCTCCTGGCTCATCCCCCTCTGAGGAGCAGCACCATTCTTGCCTCTTGCCGGTGTTTTTGCTGAGCAGTGATTGTGTCGAGCAGAGGTTGTGCAATGCAGGGCTTGTCTAGACTGTGCAGTGAACAGCATGTGCTGGGCATGCAATGATACAGGTGCTTGGCCAGAGATCATGCCCTGTGTCCAGGAGTCAGGGTCCAGCTGGTTGAGTTCAGCTCAAACCCTAGTTCCAGGCTGATATTCTTGGTTTTAGCAAGCTCCTCTTGGCCTCCCATTATGGACACAGAGCCATGTGCCACAAGAGGGCAGGCAGGGCTGCAGCATCCCTGCGGTTGGGAGGGAGCCCACTGCCTTACTGGGTGGTTCGAGAGCAGGGGCATC